CAACCTCTGAAAGGCAAACCCGCCCGGGTAAACCACCCCACCCGACCGGGTAATCGGGTTTTTCAGCCTATACCAGGTCGGGCAGCACAACATCTCCACTTCATCTTCCCCAAATTTTCGAACCTCCCTATCCCAAAACCTCCATTTTCATAACTCCAAAGCTCAAAACCAACTCATTTCTCCATCAAATCCATAAATTAACATCATATTCTTCATCTCCTCACCTCCCTCTTTCATCCTACACCAATTAATCCATCTCAAATCCCCCAAATCAACCAACCAAAAAAAAAACCCTACCCCCATTTTCGAACCCCTTCATTCTTGGACTTCAAAGGTCCAAAGACAAGCCAAAAATCATCACCAAACATCAAATACCTCTTCTCCTAATCATTCCCTACAAAACCATACCCATCAAGCTCACCAAATCCTACCCACCCCAAAAATCCGAAAAATCCTCACCAAAAACACCCAAAATCAAGCTCCATGGCACCAAAAAGGGCAAAACCTTCTTCCTCAAGGACTCAAAGGGCTATTCCACCGGTTGACGGCTTCGAGGAGGTGGACCTTGCAACCGAAGCACAACGCATCCGCTTTCTCGAACAATCCGAAAGAGAGGTAAAACACTCCCGATTTATGTGCCAATTGACCTTGACTTTCTTTTGGATTGATGATATTATGAGGGACATATTCACAAGGTGTGGCATGCTGAAAATTTTTAATATGCACTATTGGTCATATTCTCGTTTAGTGTATGAGTTCTACAGTTCCGTTGAGCATGTGAAAGACGAAAATGATCACACCAATAACACTATCAACTTTCGAATGCTCAACGAGAACCGTTCACTCACTAAAAGAGAATTTGCTGAACACTTCGGCCTACCCTTGCTTGATGAAATTGTCGCGCATAGTACACCGGTAGCCCATGAACTATGGAGAAGAATGACTGGAGTTGTCAATGTTCGCACTTCCCACCTCAATGTCAACCACATCCAACACCCGGTTTTCCGAATTTTCTTCAAATTCTTGGCAAATTGTCTTTTCGGGAGACCAAACAACCATCAAACTAGAGTGAGTGATGTGTGCCTCTTAGCACAAGCTGTTCTTCCGGGTGCTAGCCCGTACGATCTCACCACAGTGCTTTGGGATCACATTATCAATGTTAAAAATGGTGGAGGACCAATTCTGGTAGGAGGTCTAATTACCCACATAGCAACACTATATGGTTTTCAATGCAATGGTGCACGAAACAAAAGAACCCTTCTTGGCCTTAAGTTTCTAAAGAATGCTGGGGATGTGACCCTATCACACGTAGAACATGATGGTCTGGAGATCTATCATTGGCACATCAAACCTGGCCAAGATCTGTACCACCCATTCCCCTCCGATAATCTCCCACTTAACATCCTTGATCACCATATTGGTGATGGACACCATTATTGTCTGCCCGGGGGGATCCCAGCTCATTATGCACCCCCAGATGATGAACAGGGGAACAATGAAGACAACAACGCCGCCAACGAGCAAGCAATTGAGCCACCACTCATCATTCCTGAACAACCACAACCACAACCTCATGCCCACCAATATTCACCATTTGAGCAAGAAATGCTAAATAGCATGAATGCTCTTAACCTTAACTACACTCAACTCCGGAATGAGTTCGGGTTATTTAGAAATGAGCAGAGGCAGAGTTTTGAGAGGATTGAAGAACAAAGACGGGAGGATTGGCGTAGGCATGAAGAGGACCAACGAAGAACCTTTGGTCCGATATACTCTTATGTAGCACACCAGGGGTCCTTTGCGACTATGAGCAACCCCCCTCCCGCACCCTCATGGTATAACCCCACTGAATGGGGTTATTTCGGCGGCTCAAGCTCTGGTGGAGGGGGCGGAGATGACGGGCACCAAGGTGATCACATGGATGAAGATGCTCACTTCACCGGTTACCACGGCTATGGAGGGTCCTATGATGGAGGAGATGCGGGCGGGCACTAGGGACAGTGCCTAATCCTAAGTGTGGGGGTATTGAGAACTATTCCGGTATGCACCCATTTCATGCTCTTCATTATTTTCTTCAAAAAAAAAAAAAAAAAAAAAAAAAAAAAATTTAAGCTTGTTATGTTGAAAACCCAAAAGGGCAACTTAAGCAAAATAAAAGCAAAAAGAAGAGTGAGTTGGTGAGAACAAAAAGGAAAATGTGGGAAGCTGGGTTGAAAACCCAAAAAGGGCACCTAGGCAAAATGAGAGAATGAGAGAAAGTATTTCTTTTGATTTTGCAGGATCCTGAGGGTGATTACTATACAGAGTTCATCGGATGAGGAAGCTGAAATTGAAGACCCATTTTTACTCTTTTGGTTTTGAAAATACTTTATGTTATGTGTTTTGAACACTTATGGTTGTTGGTGTTGCTACTCTTACCATTTAAGGACTTCTTGAACAGAACTCATTTTACTCGAGACGAGTAAAAGTGCAAGTGTGGGGGTGTTTGATATGCACTAGTTTATAGTGCATAAGTGTATGTTTTTAATATCGATCTTGTGTAGACTTTCCATCACTTTTAGTTAGTTTGTAAGTATTTGTTTTATTTTAGTTGTAATTGTTTTTACCTTCTATTTCTAGCTATAGAATAGTGATAGAGTTTTTAGCAAGCAAAAGGGAAGAAAAGCTGAAGACAAAAATTCTCAGGAGCACAGACCCGGGCGGGTCCCTTACTCGACCCGGTCGGGTCAGATTTGACCCGGAGCACCAGAACATGCTGCAGATTTGGAAAAGATCTGATTTTGGTCAAACCCGGTCGGGTTCCTTACTTGACCCGGTCGGGTCTGATTTGACCCGGACAAGTTAACGTGCAGAAAACAAGAAATCGTGGGAGATAATCTGATTTTGACCGGTACCCGGTCGGGTATGTACCTATACCCGGTCGGGTACCCGGCCAAAGGTGTTGAAAAACACCTATAAATAGCACACTTTTTCTTCACAAAAAATCATCCCTTCTTTCCTATACTTAAGCTCAGTCTAGAATAGCATTTCTTTATATTTCTTTTAGCATGTTTAGTCTCCAAATGAGGAGCTAAACTTCCATTTCTTGGTTTTGCTCTTGAAGCTTGTTGATTATTAAAGTTGTGAGTTATTTTCTTACTTTCTCCTTTTGATTATTAATTCTTCCCTTAATCTATCTCTATATTAATGTTGGAGGGTGGCTAAGTGACGATTAGTTAACGTTCCAACATTGATTATTACTAGAAACGATCAACGAACCGATGGTTAATCGTTGATAGTTTCACAAGTAAGTAACTTCGGTTTGTTAATGCACGGTCGTGGTTAATAAACTTAAGAGGGATCAATTTTGTTGGTTAAACCGAAACCGTTGCGTTGAGGTTATCAATCTCAATTGATTTCATCAAGGAGTTAAAGAGGTTAAATGCTACTATTATATCGGTATACGGCGTTGTTCTATATTTGATTAATAGTAAGGGTTATTAATGAACGGTCGTTGTTAATAACTACCCTCGATGAACTGGATATACTCCGCGATTGAGTATTCGAGAGGGGACAAGTTATGGATATAACGATGATCGACTAAAATATATCAACAAGTGGAAAGTAGCAAGACCAAGTCTCTTTTATTCTTGAATTAAATCCCATATAACTCGTTCATCTTCTTGTTTAAATTAATTAAATCACTCAACAGACAAAACCCCCCTTTATCTACTATATTCATAAAAAGAAAGTTATTCCTTTCCCTGTGGATACGAACTCTACTTCACTATACTACGTATAAGTGTTGTATTGAATTTACTTTGAGTGCACTCACGACAAAGTGCACGTCAGGTATACTTAAAAAGTTAAATGATTAAATACTTAAAAGTTTTAATGTATTATTGTGGGTATAGTTAAGCTGAAATAACGCAAATACCTAATTTCTCATTTATTTAGTCTGATTTGGATATCATGAATAAAACAGCATAGGAGTCCTTATGTTATAAAACAGTATAACAACAAATACATTAAAAATAAATTATTTAGTCTGATATGGATATCATGAACAAAATACATTAGTATTAAAAGTGAGGAAAGAACTAGAAGTAAAGAGAGTATTATAGAAGATATAATTGTCCTATATAGAAATAATAATAAAAGGGAAAATAACTTTAAATAGTACCAATTATCTTCCATGAACCAAGAATAATACAAACTTGAGAAATAATTTTCAATAATACCAACTATTTGATTATCTATCAAAAGTGATATATAGCAAATTTTCACCAAAAATTCATTTATTCAATTCATCAAAAACTAATATCAAAATATCAAATAAGTGATCATATTTTCAAATATCAATTATTTGATGATTTGATCTTAGTTTTTGATGTCTTCAATGATTGAATTTCTTGTAGAAAAGTGTCTCTATTTTATTTTTGGTTCACATCCAGATAGTTGGTATTATTAAAAGTTATTTCTAAAGTACGTATTATTATTGATTTATCGAAGATAGTTGGTATTATTTAAAGTTATTTTCTCATAATAGAATTAAAAATACATAGAATAAATGATATTTGTCCTCAGCCCGCGGGTTGGCCCGCAACCCGTACGGGTTGACCCGCTAAACCCGCAACCCGTTAGGGTTGACCCACTGAGCCCGCAAAACAATCGGGCCTGAAAATGATAGCCCTAACCCACTTATAAGTGGGTTGAAACGGGCCAACCCGCGGGTTTCGGCCCGTTTTGACGGCTCTACTAATAAGCCCGAGATTGCATGTCCGGTTGTTAGCCAGAGTACGGAAAACAAGATTACTGTTCTCGAGCTAGCCGGGGTTTCTTACCTAGTAATTGGGTAGGATTCTTGTTTGGAAAATTTTACGGTACCTACGTTTTGTGGGATGTTTTGGTGCATTCCACATTTGGCAGCATTTGATTGGTAGTCTAATCCACCTCAATTTTTTTAATTAAAAATACGTTTTTTGCAGGGTGGTCCTTCCCCAATTATCGGCCTTGTCGTTTTACCCTGAAACAAAAATCCAGCTTTTAAGTTATCAGTTTTGGCGAAAGAGCAGGAGGAACGAAAACCAGCTGCGAGTGATGTGTTGAGGTGAGGTGAAGGCCGAAGAGACCAGGGTAAAGGGCCGGAGGTTCGAAAATCCTCTCAATCCAAGGTAGGTGTCTAATTATTCCCTGGCGCTCCTCTCAATTCATCTCGTGATTTTGTTCTTCGGTATGAATATATGATTCGTACATCAAAGCGATTTGGTAGATGACGATATGCATTGGATTTACCATCTCCTTGTGACATCAATGTTCGTTCATGGTGTCAAAGGACCTACCCAAATTTCTTGCTGCACAAATTGTTTTAAGATTTTGGTTCGTGTTGTTTGAAGTAACTTCCTTGTTTCTTGACTTTTTTTAACAGGGGATGATGATTGTTGAGATATGCAAAATGCTGAATACATGGTGTTCATTAAAAAATAAAAATAAAAATATGCTCCAGGTATAAAGTGTTAAAATCGAAATCACATCTTCCCCTACCCTTTTGCACACTCAGAGTTGACTTATATACAGTCTTACACTCTTACCTCTATGATTCATATATGTATCCTGTATCTTGCTGTGATAGATGGACATAATGTATCATGTATGATATATCCTACTGTTTATAAGGAATAAAAATTGATTCTATTTGTAGAATTGCAGTTAAGTCATAGAGATGTATTATGTGTAAACTACGTAGTATAAAGTAAGCTTAGTAGAGAAGTGGCCAGTGGCCAATAATTATTGAAGTAAATTTTCAATTAATGTGATTGTTGTAGCTATTTAGTTTTTTTGGTAATTTTCACAAATAACTGAATTTGTTAATTTCAGCTTTCTGTGAACTCTTGTTTTGTTTCATCACTTAAGTAATTAAAAGGAATGAATCATACTTTCGTTGACACATTAGTATCATCATATAATAATAGTAGTAGCCTCCTACTCATATTGGTATAGCATTTTACATAGTATTTCTGATAGCAGACTTGGTGAGAATATTGGAGTTCTAAAAAAAGTCATGCATGTGCATGTTAGTTTTTTAATTTAATAATTGCTGAAGTTTTCGATACATGTTCTAAAATACAATTCCGAAATACTATTCTACATATCTTCTATAGCCCCCTACTTTATGTCTCATACTACCTCTGGTTTTTTTAATCTTCACAGTTTGACGTCACACAAAATAAGAAAAGAAATTTGACTTTACTGTAGAGTACACTGTTGAGGCACTGTTTGACACTGTAGAGACACTGTTTGGCACTATTTTGATGTAGATTTCTTTGCCAAAAAAGGAATAAGGAAGTGAAGTTTATTTTAGACAGTCCCAAAAAGGAAAGTGTGAAGTTTATTAAAACCGGAGGGAGTAATTTTTAAGAGTCTCTATTTTGTTATTGGGAACAACAAAATTTCTAATTTCCCTGTCAATTGTATTTCACTTTAGAATTGGAATCTGCAAGCATATGATGACATAAATTGTTTGTTGCTTTTTTTGTTCAACAGTGGTGATTTGCTGCATGAGAGCAAATACAAATGGAAATAACTAGTCAGTCATCTATTACATTGTATAATGAGTCTGGTTTCACAGTTAAATAATCGTTTGCCTACTTTACAACTCATAAGGCAACGTACTTTGTATAGTGCGGAAAAGGAAATAGGTGCGGTCATATGCTGCACATTCACCTCCTACTACAACTCTTTCTGATTATGACCCCACAACATTTGATCCAATGGAGCATCGTAGTCCTCCAACAGAGAGAATGTGGAGGCTTGTTGGTGAAGTTTCCAGGCTCTCATTAGTTGAAGTAGCTGAGCCGTCTGGGATTTTGATGACGAGGCTGGGTATGACTCAACAACTCACAGTGGGGATTATGAAGGCGGGAAATGCTGCTGGCATGGCAGTGAATGGAGGGTCCACAGTAGTAGCTAAGGAAGAAAAGAAGCCTGAAAAGACAATTTTTGAGCTGAAGTTAGAGTCTTATGATGCTACTCAAAAGATCAAGCTAATTAAAGAGGTCCGAGGCATCAGTGATTTAGGCCTCAAGGAAGCAATGGATTTGGTGGAAAAGTCACCTGCAGTGTTTAGAAAAGGAGTGTCAAAGGAAGAAACAGAGCATGTTATTGAAAAGATGAAAGCAGTTGGGGCCAAAGTTGCCACGGAATAATGGAAAGTAGTGCAAAGTATTTTTCATATAAGTACGTATGTAATCAAGATTTTCATAGCAGCCTAATGTGAATTTTTGAATCACATACCTTACTACAACGCAGAGTATTTTTCATATTCATTTGGTGGTTTGGTACACTTATTGACGTAATTGGTAGTTTAAAAATAAGCTTAAGGCTGTTGAGCTAGTCCTCGTTCAAATTTTCTGATTGTTGGAAAATAAGCATGTAGTTCTGAAAAGAAAAATGAGAAAGAGTTGTTTTAAGTAAAAACACATTATAGTGCTTGTCAAGTTATAGGGGTGTTTGGAACCAATTCTGTTTCTGCTTCTTTTTTAAAAGCAGAAGCAGAATCAGAATCAGTTTCCAGAAGTTGGTACCCCCCCCAGCTTCTAAAAAAACTGATTCTGAGAGTAAATTAGAGCACCAGAAGTGCTTCTGGAATTTCACCCAAACACCCCAGCTTCTGCTTTTGCTCCCTCAAGGAGCAGAATCAGTTTTGTGAATCAGATCCAAACACCCCCATAGATATTAATCATATTATAAGTCCAATTTCACTGGTTAGAAGTTTCGCAATGGCATTTTTTTTTTATAGAAAGAGCCACGTGTTTTTAGATACAATGTTATTTTCAAATCTCTATAATCAAATCCGCCCGTTGTTTATGCGTATGCATCACTTTTGGGAGCTTTTTAAAAGGAGGATAAAAGGTACTGCGTAATAATAGTGGTACACTTTTTTTTTTACTCTAGGGGGTCTAGGGGAGGGGGCTGGGGGAAGTATGGAATAATCAGGGTTAAAACTCATTTCATTGAGTTTCACACCCTTATGTGCCTATCGGGATTCAAACTCGAGACCTCCTACTAGGCACGGTAACCTCGCAACTAACTGGGCTGGAATGTTTAATTTTTTGCTCAAGGTGTTTGGCTCACAATAAAGTTAGGGTCCTGATCGAGCAAGTAGTAGTCCTATCTATCCACTCTCGACATGCACAATAATACTGAGTATATAAGTTTAGGGCTCATAATACTACGTATATCATGTCAAATATCATGGCTGGAAATGCATAATTGTAGTTGAGTGAAAAAAGTAAGTGAATAATATTAGCTACACAAAACTTTTCATATAAAGAAATGAGAAGATTTTTTTGAGACATCCCAATCAGGGACGGATCCAGGATTTTGGGTCAAGGGGGGCGAAATTTTTCGTTAGTGTAGGGGGTGAAATTTTTTTTTCGTTAGTGTAGTGGGACGAATTTTTTTCCCCTAGTGTAGCGGGGCAAAATTTTTCACTACTGTAGGATTATGCGGCTATTTTTATTAAAAAAAATGACATTAATACATATATATCCCCCAACGACATATAAATCTATTACATTCTAAATTTAGACAATGACAAAGACATCAACCAATACATTTTTAATAACTTCTATATTGTTTAATCTTATGAATCGGTTATTGAATTGTAATTTTTGTCCATTAAGGAGGGTGTTCGTGAGTCATGACTCATGAGAAGTTTTCTTAATATTACAATAGTAGTATGTATGAGATTATTATTTTTAGAATAATATGCACCACATACACACACTATATGGTGCATATTATATTTTAATATTTGTATTAATGCTATAATAATTTAAATTTTGTTATCTATGCAATAAATTATTTTTAGAAAGCAAGAAGTAAATGAATTATGTAATTTAATGTCAATAAATATTTATATTTTGGATTCATTTCACGTGATCTAAAAACTGTGTAATTAGTGTGTCTTGTATTTAATATTGTTTGATATATATTTTACAAAATTGAGTACTTGTTATCTAATAAAGATAATTACACATTACAAAACTAGGAATTCTTATATAATAAGTATCCTAAATCTTAAACAACGAGTTATGTAAATTATATTAGATGTTCTTTCTTTTAAATATCCAATTATGTATTACATTATGTAAGACTATATATTAATTTTGAAAATTAAAAGCTAAGGGGGGCGAATCTAATTAGATTATGAAAGTTTTATGAAAATATTATATATATGGTAGAAATTTTTCAAAGTCCAAGGGGGGCGGTCGCCCCCCCTAAATCCATCCCTGATCCCAATATAATAAATGGGACGAGTTTTATGGAATATGGAGTATATGTGATTTAATAAATGTTGATGATTATAATATGGATTTCACTTAAACCTTAATAAAACCTTAATAGGTGTGTGAGTTGACAGTCAAAGAGTTAGAGCACCTGAGCATATCGAACCCAACTCATTACGGTCAGGCATAAAATGCAAAACATGATTAAACTTATTGAAATTAATGGCATGATTGAAATAACATTGTAAATTTTGATTATATTACAATAACTTCTTATTTTTTTCAGTTTTTCATGAAAAATATTAGCTAGTCTAAAATGAAACGTAGGCATTATATGAAAGAGTTATTTTAACCTCTCCGAGACTACAAGTATCAAAGAGATAAGGGAGGTGGAGCGTTATTTTATTGAAGAGAAAGAGAGATGGATAGATTGGGAATAAGTATTACGGAGTATAAAAGAAACAGAAAGGCCAAATCTAAGAGCATCTTCAATGCTAAAACGTTAACGGTGCATACGTGACATGAGAAACAACCCATTAAAAATCAATAAATAGAATCTCGCTCTCCTTATTTAAAAGATCTTGCATCATTTTGGTAAGTTTTTCTTCACAATATCAAACACAATGTCTAGATGTAGATATTGTGGTTGACATTGCAGACACAAACTTACCAAAAACGCATAAGACCGTGGAAAGAAGGAGAGAGAAATGTCGTAAAATGAACATTTTGTGTCTATCTCTCTCATGCCACATGTGCACCGTGCACATTGTAGCATTGGAGATGCTACAAAAGCTAGGTTTCTTGACTTTTCCTACTTTAACTGTTTGAGCTCAAAAGCCAAGTGAAAAGGCCATTTTACTAGACACACCTAGTAGGCTTATTAGCTGATGGATCCAAGCAAAAGCCAAATCACTGTCAAAATAGTAAAAAAAATTGGCTGATCAGCTACCAACCAAAGGAGTATATAATAGGATATGACTAAAACTCAATGAGTTTCTTAATCTGTGACCTAACTAGTTTTTATACCTTTGTATGACCAAAAATCCAAAAACAAATAGAAAATTCGTTTATATTTAATTGTTAAATGACAAAAATACCATTATTTAAAATATGTGCATTTTACACTAATTTCGTCCAATTAAAATTACTGCACTTTATATTTCCGTTAATGCACAAAATTAATGCACAACATTAATGCACACCGTCACTGCACATCTGGTAGTAACCACTGCACTTTCACCAAAATCAATTCTCTTCTCATCCACTTTAGAAATTTATAATTTTTTTTATTTCTTAGAATTAATAATTTTAGTATTTTACGACTAATTAAATATATTGTATTTGATGCTGGTCTTACTGCTCTACGTTAATGCAATACTTGTCATGATTACTGCACTTCTCGTCAATGCATTCTTTCACTGTCCATATACATCATTATTTATTGCCATATTCAGTCTCCATATTCAACATTATACATCACAATGTTTACGGCACATGTTCAATGCCAAAAACCCTAATTTGAAGAAATAGAAAAAAATGAAAATAGGTTTGAGTGTTAATTGCATTGCACTCCATAATTATATGGCACCATGGATGAATGGATGACAGACAGCCTACGGCTGGCTACCAGAAGTCAAATTATGACCACACAATCAAACTCCTCCCCAAAATCACTTTAATGCACAAAAGCGGCCTACACCCGCACGGACGAAGCATCGTACTACCACCACCAAGTCTCCTTCACCAAAGCTCTCTGATCTCCAATCTGTTTCCCGGCTTCCTCACCATTGGAATCTGTGTAAGGACCGAGTCGACAGCGGGACAGAGATCACAAAGATCGAATGACCTGAGGCAGCGGCAAGGGGCGGCGGCAGACGACTGAACGGCGCAGCAGGTGGCTGGACGGCGGCGGAAAGTAGCTGGTGGTCGTGCGGTGGGTAGGCAGCGGTAGGCAAGCAACGGGAGGCTGGAGGCTAGGGTTAGAAAAAATGAGTAGGGGGTTAGGGTTTTATAAACATAACTTAAAGGGTATATTTGTCCATAAAAATATTTATTTATTTATTTATTACGAAATTATTTTAATATTATTAATTTAAAAATTGTTTTGGGAGAAAAACTACTTAGGTCATTGATTGAGAAAGTGATGGAGTTTTAGTCATAGTAGGGTAATTATTTCACAAACCAAACACCCCCATACAAAAGCACTTATGTTGTACGGAGTATTCATTAAAGAGGAGTGTTGAGCTAATTTTTCCGGAATTTTCGACCAGGCTTCTGATAAACTAAAGAAGGATTCAATCCAGCCCTACGGCTACCTTGTTGCGAATGAAAGCCAGCCCCCTTCCTTTTTTTGGAAGAAAGAAAGGCTCGGAAAACTTAGTTGAAATTGACCGTAAACTAGGGCCACTTTTGATTCTGCAATATTTTGGTCGAGTGAATCAGACTAGCTTTATCTCAGAAGCGATTACCAATGTCACGATTTTGATTAGGTTCAGGAAGCTGTGGCACTTCTTACTTGACTGTTGATGAGGACGACCCAAGCATTGATGCATCGAATGCTAGTCGCTTTTGGGACAGTTGTGGGCAAGGAGGGATTCGAACCCACGACCCCGCGGTTCGTAGCCACGTGCTAACAGCAAGTACAAAAATAAGTAATAATCCCCAATACAGACTGATACGATTAATCAGAGGTAAAAAGTTTTTTGTAGCGTACATTCCATTTATACGGTCCAACTATACTACTATACTGTCTATACATTTCTTCCTGACCCTCTTCTAAATGGTAAAAAGTAAAAACAACTCATTTTTCATTCTTCAAGTCTTCTAGCTGCCAAGTATATCAGCTGCAAAAGCAGTTGCTTCACCTATGCATGCTATAATATTTCCACATTCTTCCTTGATGACATGACATTTCTGGTTTGCACTGTTGGCTTGCTGAAAGCATGAAAAAATTCAGCATGTTAAATAAATTTAAGACAGAAAATAAGATAGGATATGCACTAAAGCCATTCACTAATGGAGATAGAAAACAAGAAAAACAGGGGTGATGGCGTGATGCTGCAAAACATGAAGCTTTTAGTCACTAGTGTTAGCCTATGTGAAAAAAATATTCCATCAGTACGTACTCATCTCGATAAAACTGGAACTTAGGAGAA